CTCTAAGTTTTATGAATAAAATTCAAGTGGGTCGGCTAGGAGAGTGATTTTTCACATTCTCTCTAGTCTGGCCGAACACTCTTCTTCTCTCCTTCATTCTCTTTTCTTTCTTCTTTCTTCTTCTCTACTTTGACCTAGAATCAACTAGGGTTTATTCACAAGATTCAAAAAAACAACACACGAAAGAGGAACACAGCCTTAAAAAGTTGTTACAGAAGGTACCGACCACTTCTAGACCTTCAGTCCACCATAAAAGCTGTTGTTGCAGCACATAAACAAGGTCCTTACAACCTACAGTTTCACAGGAATCAAACGACCCCACAAAAAAAGGAAAGAAAGAGGTGCATCTCACCTCACATCCAATCGACAGACCTAGTATAGGTCCAACGCAGGCACACGACCAGAAAAGAGAAGAGAGAAAAAAAGTTACTTCAGTCGAACATCAGGACAGCCGAACACTAGATGATAACAAAGTAAGTCACCCTCGAAACAAAGTCTTCTACATGCTGGGAATCTGGTGCGAAGAAGAGGAAAAGACAGATTGCTCGACTTCTCCCTTCAGACCTAGTTGTCCTGCTCTGATACCATGTTGAACAGGAAGAAGAGAGGAAGGGAGAGAGGAGAGGAGAGAGGAGAGGACTAAGAGCCCAAAAAGATACTGCAGGCGGTGAAGTATGTTATATTTATACTTGAGCGACAACAACTAAACATAAAGAGGAGTAAAAGTACAATAGTACCCCTGTGGTACTATACATATAAAAAATAACATCTATTAACACTGATGTGGACGCGTTTATTGGGAAGAAGTATAGCCGTTGGCAACAGCAGTAATTGGGTGTTCTCAACTCTCATCTTATCTAATTCCAGCTAGATACAATTCTATCTTATCTATTCAGCATTCTTATGTTATCTTATCAGTTCAATCTTATCTTATCTTATCAGTTCAGTAGGATAGATTAAGGGAGTCTTATCTTATCTTATCAGTTCAGTAGGATAGATTAAGAGAGTCTTATCTTATCTTATCAGTTCAGTAGGATAGATTAAGGGAGTCTTATCTTATCTTATCAGTTCAGTAGGATAGATTAAGAGAGTCTTATCTTATCTTATCAGTTCAGTAGGATAGATTAAGAGAGTCTTATCTTAATCAGCAAGGAGTCTTCCTAAAAGTAAGACTCTTATCTCTTGTAATCTCCTATTTAAGGAGCTGATATTATTCAATAAAGGCATCGAAAATTTCAGTCAAGAAAGAGAGCAAAGGAGAGTTGGTGACCTCTTGAACAAATCACCTTTTAGGGCGGCAAGATAGGTTCTTCAAGAAAAGGGAGGAACAAGGGAAAACAGGAGGTTTTTCCCGTGGACCAACCCGTGACGAGATCCTATTCTCAGGTCCATAACAATTTGGTATCAGAGCAAGGCGTCTTGAGTGACCTTGAGCAGTTGACGACTAGGGTTCATGAACTGGAGCTCAAGATCGTGGAAAACAACACGGAGGTGCGCGAGATCAAGGACGACGTCCGAGAATTAAGGCACTTGATGGAGTTGTACTTTTCCAGCAAGGAAAGGAACCCAAAAGGGGCTGCAACCACAATCGGCCGCCGACCAGACATGGCAGAATCGTCTGGTGAGCAGTAGGTCGTTGCCCTAGCGCAGGGCAAATGTTCTCTTGAATGGGCCTGATACGGATGCCGATCAACACTGTCAAGGGGCTCCAGCATCCCGTGAGGAAAAAGTTAGCAGCCTTAAAACTGGTTTGGTTCATGTTGCAAGGAAGATGCCCATGCACATTTTATACTTGGCCTAATGCACCAGAGGTTGGGTCAGCCATAGAAGGCAGTGCCAGCATATGAAAAGGCAGCAAAAATATTACTTCGAAGTGAGGAAGAGATTGACAGGCCTGAGTTACTTTCTTTAGTTCAAATTCATCATGCACAGTGCCTCCTGCTAGGAAGTACAATTGATCATTGTGTCGATAAAGAACTCACGCATGAAGAACTTGGAGAAATTATTTCTAAGTTGAAGGAGTCRGTGCAGTMAGAKATTAGACAAGCATYTGTCTGGAATACACTTGGTTTATTACTTATTAGAACCGGCCGTCTACAGAGTGCTATATCGGTTTTATCCTCTTTGTTGTCTATTGCTCCTGACCACTTG